ATAAATCCATGGCCGATAGATGGTTCGTGCATAAGCGGCCTCAGCGAAGTTGTGTCACATTAGACATGATTATGTATGGATATACAATACATCACTAATTACATAATGAAAAAGAAAAGAGAATAATTGATAACAAAAATAAAAGACTGTACTCCAATTTCATATTATGTGCTTTGGACATATTTACTATTCCAATTCTGGAAACCATACACATTCTTGCTTACCCTGCATGAAAAATCACATTTTTCGTTCTGACAATTCAGTTCCTCTGATTATACAGATCCAAAAATCAATCATAAAAACGTGATGTTCCAAAATCCACAGAGTTATTTTGTGTTAAAGCGAATGGGACTGAGCTTTAAAGTATTAATAATAAAAGCCAACAACGAAAAAACACTATAACTCTAGGATAACGATAACTATAAATTTGTCAAAATATAGCCATGTTCTTATTAAATTATGACTGAAATATAAATAAGCATGACCATTCAGTCTCTCATTCAGGCTGTACTTGAAATAAACAGTGGTAAGTTGCGTCAAAATTACCCAGTCTAATTGTTCAAAATTAAGCAGCTACTGTTCTATTTGTCAGATACCTTCTCTACTAGGTCGTCAGTGAGTTCCTGAACGTGGATGATCAAATCACTGTTTTGCGTGTCTCATTATCTTGTTTCGTCTTAAGGTCACACTGACTTCGATCTACCGTAAGAAGCTTTTTGGAACGTGAATTTCCTTTTGCCCTTTGTTTATCTGAAATATATGCAAACTAACTATTGTCATGGGCACACCATTAGTACAGGGCAAAACGACAAGGCCTTGTAAGGATGGCAGTGGAAATTAGTGACGAAAAAGATAGGAACGTCGATGGAGAAGGAGAACTTGCCATTCATAGTGAATATGTGACCGAGAATGAATAAAGTAGAATAACAATATGAAGATGCCAGTAACATCGCTCGCTGTGTCTACGATGCGAACTTTATGTATGGGAAAGGCCGATTTAAGTGGGGTACACGTATGGAGTATAAGAGGTCGTACCTAAAGACGCGATAAGAACTCGTTCCCTGCACTACCTGGGCTTGCAAAGGGTTCTCGTCCGAGTGATCGTGATTCTGAATAGAAACTCTTATTCATAATATGAAACTATGTTGTTCGCTAACAGAGGAGAGCACTGACACAAAAGAAGTAAAATCTCCTATTACAAACATGAGATAAAAACCTAAAACTTCTTGACGATGGTGAAGAGTCAATTGAATAAAAATTTTCTTGGATATTATCCATCGTCTTAAAAACGTTCTGACATGATGGCGGCAGCAAGTATCTCTGAAACGTCGGCAGACTTTACCAAATTACACGTCACTACAACCCAGAAGACAGCCATCTTCAAAGACATTCATAGATCTCTTGTATTTGGTAGGGGGCTTCCAAGACTGCACCCGAAGAACTCAAAGCAAAATATTCACGTAATAGTACGGGCTGTGAGATCCTTCAGCAACGATGACTATGGAGGGACTACCGACGATTTAGTAGATAAAAGTCTGTACTTCTACGCTATTCCGAGTAATTTTCAAGTCCATACGCCTTTACATACTGTTTCTCCAAATTAAATAGCAGATTTATTCTCATATCTACCAGCTTCTCAAAACTGGCCTCTTAGTGCAAAGATCTGCTAACAAATTTTTAATGTATTTCAATACACACTCCGCTCACCCCATTATCCTTTGATCTAATCATCTCAAAAATATAAGGCTATGAGAACAAATTACTAAGCTCGTCCTTTGCAATGTTGTTCATCTTTTTTGTTATTTCCTGTTTATTACGTTAAAACTCCGTTCTACCCTCAAAACAAAAGACGAAGTTTCATGACCATTTAAAAGAAAACATCTTCTTCTATGGCTCTCCGGTCCGTATTCGGTCCATGGCCTCCTCAATTCTCCTCTTCCATTCGGTCCTCTGTTAGGTCCGTCTGTCCGAGACTTTGATTGAGGTTTCGAAACATCTTCCTATTTACGGTGCAAGGCTGTTAGCCTTTCGACCAACCCCCAACCTGGAGGACCAGGGTACCTGTCTTAGTCTGACCTCTCCCCCTCGACCAATCTGGCTAGGGGGACCCTACAAGTAGCTCTTGGGGTCACTGAGGTACTCAAGCCCCACCACCACGACAAGGTGCAGGTAAGTAAAGTAAAGTTTGTCCCACTATACGTCATGTAGGCGTTTGGGGTGAGTGGTCAGCATCACGCCTCGGCCGGCTTTACCCCCGGGAAAGGACCCCGGTACCCATTGTAGAGGAGGCTGGGTGGGCCCCAGAGCCGGTCTGGACGCAGAGGCTAGAGGAAAAATCCTCTGCCCCCGTCGGGGATCGAACCCCGGCCGTCCAGCCCGTAGACAAGGTGCAGGTACCATTAAGAAAATAAAACATACAATAACAGTTTTGTGGAATCAGTTTTCAGCGGCGGAGCGTCTATATTAATAGCGTTGGCCCGGATAACACTCTGAAAGGCGAAAAGTAGTCTTCTGTCTTATTTTTCTGGTTCAATGGTACAACGTACACTTGAACACAGCAGAATCGATGAGACGCACGCACTATTGTATGGGGCACAACAGAGTCACGAAAAAGAAGCCTTTATTCTTCGGCTGACATGAACGCTTCGCCCCTGCTTATTAGAGATTATATAAGCACATTTTAGAATACAGAGACATATACATGATAGGCCCAAATCCAATAGCAATGTTTGCACATACGTATCAAGATTCAGGGTCACGTTAAGACGCAAAAATACGTGCTAAATATCAAAGAATTTAACTAAAGACTACGTCATTGGGAAAGAGAAACCTTGGGAATGTGAAAATTTTATCTCTGACACGCACATGAAGAATTATAAAACATGTACAGCAAATAGTGAAAACTTTGTATGCCATCTGATTCTAATTGTTCCACTTCACCTTGTTGTAAAATAGGGAAACAGGAAAAATAAAATAACATAATTTATAACGTAAACTACCAATAACAACATCGATGGATGTCTTAAGTTCAAAATGCAGACGTGTCTAAAGACGATCGACATATTTTGTGGCCATTTTATAACAATTAATAAGCAACATTACTGGGTTTTGTAAAAATAATACATATTTTTCTCGACTGACGTAGTCTGGACTTGTGTTGCACACAGACAAAGTAATCAGTATGATACCAGAGACCTCACGGCTGTAAAGACGACGGTTCTGGTCTTCTAGGTTGTAACACCGAGCGGACTTACCCTTCAATTCATCGCCTGCGGAAAGTGCAGCTCATTAATTTTTAGACTCAACTGCCATTTTGTTATTCTGCCAGTTTGATGTAAAATTGGAATGTTGCCCAGTTCTTAATACGATAACGCTGGATGTGGTGCTGATATAATCGAAAACCAACCAAGAAAACTGAAAAACAAACTATAGTGGCTCCATATCAACAATTTTATGTTTGGTGAAATTGTTGTTAATGACGTGATATAGGCCTATGTCTCGGAAATAATATACGTAAATGCTACGAGACTGAATGAAGAATTATTCAGTCTGCAAATGTAACACCTCTTTGTAGCCTTGTTTCCGTATCATATAAAGAAAGAGGGGATTGAGGTATCATAACACGAGATATGAGTTCTCACGGCTGTGAAGATGTTCATGTTGTACTTCTGGGTTTGTAACGCCGGGGTGGATTTGTAGGTAGGTGTTTGGAAGGAACATATTTCGTACATCTTCAGCCACCTACAAGTCCACATGACGTCACAACCTAGAAAGCCACCACCGACAAGACATCACGATGTTCGCGTGACCTAACCTCAACCCGCTGAAGGACTTTCATAAACTCGCCAAGTTCATGCCGCTGCAATCAACACACTGTCTCTGTAGTTACGTATTTCCTGTCATGGCGAAATTCTGAAGTGTGAACTTAATGTAGGCCTTCAAAGTCTGTGTGATAACAAACATTAGAAAAGCCGGCAGTGGAACTTTTCTTAAAAGCAACTGCGAAACAGCAAAAGCAAGTGATAGCATAAGCTTTATATTTATTTAGCTTTTTCTGTTCATGACCAAACCCTTTCTTGAAATCCTGAAATAACAGTTCTATTTTTTGACGTAAATACCTCTATAAGGAAGGGTCATTCGGCAAAAATGTGTTACGAGAAATGGAAACGAAAAAGTGTAACTTCATTGTTATGTTACCTAGTAAACGTCATCTGTTTACACGGCATTGTTGTGTTACATTACTGCCGTCAACAATCCACTTTCGTTATTACGTAGGAAACGTCATCTGTTTACTCAGCATTGTTGTCACCTATAAAACATTACATTACATTACCTTACCTTACCTTACCTTACATTAAATTACATTACTTTACATTACATTACCTTACCTTACCTTACCTTACATTAAATTACATTACTTTACATTACATTACCTTACCTTACCTTACCTTACATTAAATTACATTACTTTACATTACATTACCTTACTTTACATTACCTTACATTAAATTACATTACTTTACATTACATTACATTACCTTACTTTACATTACCTTACATTAAATTACATTACTTTACATTACATTACATTACCTTACTTTACATTACCTTACATTAAATTACATTACTTTACATTACATTACATTACCTTACTTTACATTACCTTACATTAAATTACATTACTTTACATTACATTACATTACCTTACTTTACATTACCTTACATTAAATTACATTACTTTACATTACATT